CCTGAAACTCCTCCTAGAGCACCCTTGTAGTTCCTTGTAACCAAATGTCTCTCAGAGGGGCGTGGGGAGGGGCTCCTTATTTTCATCTAAAGTGACAGAGAATCAGCACTTTGGAAACAGGGCTGAAACAGAGGGGATTATGGGTAATGCTGCAATGATCTGTTTGGTGTTCGGAGCATGTAGTGAAGTAAAAGTACACCATTTAACTGGATTGTAGTGGAGTAGAAGACAATTGATATACTCAAGTAAAGTACAAGTACCTGAAAACTGTACTTAAGTATATATTTGGTTACTTCACATCTGTACTTTGATCTGTTAGTGTGATAGACACTGAGAAATGTTTCAAATGTTCGTACCTGCCCACAGACTGCGATGGAATGGAAATGAAAATGTAAAATAGTCCAAACTCTCAAAATACACCATTGCATAGAAAACATAGTACTTCACCTCTAGTGTCTTGATGTGAGGGGAGAGTTATAATATCATCACCCGCCACTCTCAGGTTCCTAATGCTTTATCACGAAAAGAGACATTGCACAATATCTTACGGAAGATAAGGATTGTAGGAGATGTAGTAAGATTGTAAGGAGCCAATAGGAACTTCTGTTTGAAATACCTGCTGACACTGAACAGCTGATGTTCTGCAGGGCGGTGGGCTGCATCCTGGCTGAGCTGCTGGCCCACAAACCTCTGCTCCCAGGAGCCTCAGAGATCCAGCAGGTGGACCTGATCGTGCAGCTGCTGGGGACCCCCAACCAGAACATCTGGCCTGTGAGACCTCCGCTCTGAACATCTGCTCATATTGATATATCTGTCAGGTCTGAAGATGTCAAAGGAATATGCTAAATTGTTTGTGTGTGTGTCCCAGGGTTTCTCTCAGTTGCCCCTCATTGGTCAGTACAGTCTGAGGAAGCAGCCGTATAACAACCTGAAGAATAAATTCACCTGGCTGTCTGAAGCCGGACACAGACTGCTCAACCTGCTCTTCATGTACAACCCACAGCGCAGGTACACGCACGCACGCACGCACGCACGCACGCACGTACGTGGGGACAGGATAGTCTATTTTAAATGTCAAAGTTAAAGATAGTTAACTAAAATCTGCTGTTAGGGAACATTAAAGAGCAAGAAGACTAGGGCAGGATCCTTATTTCACTTTGACAGCTACATTGAAAACAAAGGATAACTCATTTAGAGCACTCGTGCGTGAGTTCAGTACTCAAACACGTATGTAAATGTACTTTGTACCGCTGCAAATAACCACATTAATGATGCAGTGTGACGCTACTGTTGGGTTTGAGAGCAACATGTATCTTCACTTACACAGATTAATGTGCTGGAGGAAACATTTTCACCAAGCCTGCCAACCACTCATACATAATACAATGAAATAAATACTTGCCATACATCAATACTGCCACATTTGCAGAGCTCAGCTGCAAACAATCTGTAAATCTTGAACAAAGGGAGAGACAAGCTCAGCCTCCCCTCTGATTGCGCGACCCCTCAGAAACTGAATGCAGTGCGGGCGTAAAGTCGTTCCTGTCACCATCTCTGTCTTTAACCAATGTGAGTCGACCCCTCTTCACATGTCCTGGGCTTCCTGATCCCAATTATTTCACGTATGTGTAAAATATATATATAGGGTTGCTGGTTATAAAACTGCCACAGGGGAGGCAGCGACCACATCTGCCT